GTATTATCAGTAATGGAGTACATACATTTTGAATATATTTTTAAGCCATTACCGTTTGATGATTATTACACTTTGTGAAGGAATATATATTAGCCAACTAACAAGTATATTTTATTAATATGTGCTTGTATTTCTGAATACACCTTTTAGGGAGTCTGTGATTTCACATATTACAGCAATGCAATAGAGAAAAATGTGCTTTCTTTAAAAAATATAATGAATTACAGCAGTTGTATTTTGGAACTGCTTAGAAAGACTCACCAAAGTGCTGTTTTATAGGTCAGAGGTCACAAAGTCTCACATGTTACATGAGAAAAAAACCAATGTGAACATACCAAAGATCATGAAGGATTTAGTGGGAGGTTTCATGTGATTTAGAGGCTTTTTGTATTAAATATTGAATATGGAGCAGTAATCTGTAACCATTTAATATGTAACACCGTTCAATGTGCCTTAATTCGACCCATGAGATTGATCTTGTAAAATGTTTTTGTATTAAAATGTATTTAAACATGTTCCTGGTATCTATAGCAAATCTGTTTCTGCTTGTAACATTTTGAGCATATGAAATTGTTTTTAATATACCCATGTGTCCGTGTGGATTTAAGGTGGGGAGGTTTTGGGGAAGATATAATGGGAAAGTCCACACAGGGCTGTTTGTGATAAAATCTAACTCAAACTGAACATCGACTTATCCAGATGTTAAAAATGTAATACATAACATCACAATCTCCATCTTAACATTTGTTCCAACATCTGGTAGAATTTACTTATGGCAAAGCGAGATCAGATCTGGCTTCATCGTCACCCTCTCATATACCACCACTGGCAGAGCCTCCAGTACGCTGTGATACAAAACGCAGCGATTCCACACTGACCCCCACAAAAGGAAACATTCCTCTGTGCAGAAGCAATTTGACATCTTGGACCTTAATTCTTCTGGACAGATGTCGGCTGAGTAAATACTTAGCGGAATGGGATCATTAGTCATCCGAGGCTGATGAGAAAAACAGAAGAGGCGAGGGACTGATCTCATTCTTCATCTGGTGATCGAACATTCCCCCAATAAACGGACACACCTTCCATTAAAAACAGCTTCGGACAGTTATTGCAGGTTTAGAGCATTGTGTAATACTTTACTACTACTATAGTAGAAAAACAGATGGTAAGAACAAGCTTATATTTAGAAAAAATTGTTTTATTGTATTGCCTTTTCACATTTTTTTTTCACATGTCACAGTTAAATGTGTCACCCGAAGAAGACTTACACAGGATAAGAAACCGATGATCTTTGTCCTGAGAGGCAGCTCTGTGTACCATGCCTGAAGAAAGAGCCTCTTTCACTCGGACCCTTGCGTTGAAATTACAGCAGGAGATGAGACTAGGACCACGAGTCTACTCCAGCTCTCCGCAGTCTGCGATAGTGATCCTCTTGGAGGTTCGCCCGGACTGGGAACCGAAAGCCTCCACTTTCTTGATCACGTCGAGTCCCTCCTTCACGCTGCCAAAGACAACATGCCTGCCGTCCAGCCTAAATGAAGAAAGAAGAGCTGTATTATCACTGCCCTGCACTGAGAGACAATCCCTGATGCACCCAGCAGGCTTTGACTCATGACTTTGTGTTGGGTGATGCACTATTCCTGCAAGAATTCTGCTATTTTAGGCCATCATTCAAATCTTCTTTCTGCTCCTCCTGTCAAAACATTACATGAATTCTCAGCATCCATCAAGCATTTTGTTCCCAGAAGGTGTGGGGGAAAAAAACTCTGGAATAGCATTTTAAATATAACTGGGAATCACTAACTACCTATCTCCTAGAGAGGCTGCAATAACAAAAGTCATCCAAAAGGCAGCAGAATTGTATTGTTGGATGGTATACAAAATATATTTTTCAAATTGTCCCAGGATAGTTTCTCTTCTTTCCACGTTGTGACGGACTCCAAGTCAAATTTTAAAAAATGTGTCAAGTTTGCAGCGTCCAAACTGCACACTGCCCCAGAAGCACTCACAGACTTTAAGTGAAATCATGAGCTTTATCATTTTGATTGTCATGTTTTTTTTTTACATTTCCATAATCATTCAAGTTATGTCCATTTAAAAAAGGCAGTGAAAATGAAGATCCATGGAGGCTTTAATACTTGTGGTGTACAATTAAACCTTTGAAAATATAAGCTGAGAGTTGCTTGGTGAAACTGGCACTGTTTAAATAGGAGAAGTATCACCCCAGTATAATTCTTTTTACTTTATGTTGAGTATTGATGTGTCTGCTTTTGTTTGGTTTTCCCAATCGCACAAGATCTTCAGTTTTCAGCAAATGATCAGAGCTCTATACAAATTAATGGCTTCAAATAAAGCCAATGACGGTGAAATGCTGTAAAAAATAAATAAAAATACAGTAGCATCAAGACCCATGATGTTGTCTGTTAGCACATACCATTCTGTTTTAGAGGTGCAGATGAAGAACTGGGATCCATTGGTGTTGGGTCCAGCATTGGCCATAGACAAGATACCTACAATGCATCAATTAAGAAGTATTTATCTTAAAACATGTTCTTTTAAGTCATCTTAACAGCTTTACTTTTCCTGTCAAGTCAAAATGTCCATGTTGAACTTGAGAACAGATTTCATTATCATCTAAAACTTAAACCAAGATGATTCACAACACATCAACACTATTTGCATAATGCTGCCACCTGCTGGTGAAAACATTCTGAATTACCCTCTTGCATAATGTTTAATGGCTTTTACATAACAAAATATTAATTTATATTATCTAGATTAATGGGAATAAATACAAAATGTAGAGAAGACTAATTTACCTGCCAAAATACTGCAGCTTCTTAAGAGTGAGATTTAGTACAATTGCACGTTTCTGTGTATCCCATCATCTCAATATATTGCGCAGTGATTAAGACGTAATGCTGCAGTTAGTGCAACACTTTGAGGTTTGTTGCAACAAAAGTAATACTGAGTACAGAGTTTGGATGAATAGAACAGTAGCTGACAGTATGTATGAAAGAAAACAGATTCTGCATAATTCTGTGATTTCAACTGATACTTGAAGATAATTCATCACGTTAGCCAACTTTCTACATCGACATACATAAATACACTGTGTACATCTTCTTTTGTGTACAAACAGAATAAGATATTTACCAGGTCCAGTGTGCTTCAGCTTGAAGTTCTCATCAGAAAACTTCAATCCATAAATAGACTTCCCTCCGGTTCCATTGTGGTTAGTAAAATCTCCACCCTGAAATATAACACTGCTGTCATTGCACTGTAACACCATGCCTGCGGGACAAAAAAGGACAATAAAAGGAAAAGACAAAAGCTTACCTGGCACATGAAGCGAGGGATCACCCTGTGGAAAATCGATCCCTTGTAACCAAAGCCCTGTTCCCCTGTGCAAAGCGCTCTGAAGTTCTCTACGAGAAAGATTTGCGTCAAATTCTCACTCACAATCAACACAGGTCAGTGCTTCCCTCAAGTGTTGGTTTGAATTTGAATGTATGATAGTCCCTCTTATTTGAAAAGGAACAACTCATCTGTACTTAGGTTGGGTACAGGTTATTTATTTTTTATTATGGCTGGGTATCTCAGTGTTTAGGCACACACAGGCTGTGTATGTGCAGAAGTAATTAAATAATATTCAAACCATGCCAAGCTCTTGTTATTCAGACTCCAGGCATGTCTGGTATCACAAAGGAAATCACAAATGAGTGTAAGTTTGTTAGTGGTGATTTTACATGCATAAATACATTCAAAGATAAATAACAATGAATAGGTGGCTCTTTACTTTAAGACAGCCATGCTTGAATCATCATATCAGTTTCAAATAGCAGAATTTTCTGTAACTTAAATCCAACCCAAATAACTCATGTGTGATGTTTCGGAATAATATTATTGGTGCACAGAAGGAGAATATTCTCAAAACAAAGGAATACTTCCTCCTTTAGTTTATGAGGAATATTCAAATACATTATCACCTAATGTGATAATATGTGATAATAAACATGAAAAAAGATGAATAATATTAATGTGAAAAGTAACTAACGCTGATGGATAAGAGTAAAAAAAAACATGGTTTGACTTTCAGATGCACTTGAGTATGCGTGTTTGTAGTGTTTTCAGGAAAGTAGACTCGGGTACTGACCTGCCGTTCTTGGCACAACGTCTGCGTTAAGCTGCAAAGAAAACAGAATGGCTCCGAGTCAAATGTGGACACTTTGTTCTCTGGAAAACTAGAGCCGCAACGACTAACTATAATACATACTATCTATGTTAACGTTACTAACCGGAAACGGTACATATTTCAGGTGTACAGCAGCGGTTAGTTTCTTTTTCATTCAGTGCAAACATGACATAAATGAGAGTGGAAGTGTCTCACCTCGAAGGTTACTCTGCCGACAAACTGGTTGTCTGCAGCAATGTCAAAGTACACCGTGGGGTTTTTGTTGGCAGCTGCAGGGCCGGTGCTGTACATGCGCGCGAAGGTAAACGCGAGAGAACATACTTTTATTCTATTTGTTAAAAGTAACATTTTCCAAGTTATTGAGGCTCAGCTAGGCAATGAGCAAATGTCACGCTTACATATGAAAAGCAAGGAAGTGTTTCTTTCTCACGCAACCGGAAGTATATAAACCGCAAGCTGAGACGGGAAACTCTCGCGAGATTAAACGTGATACAGAGCATGCATTGCATAAGGGGACTTTTGAAATGTCAATTATTTATTAACTTATGGCTCTGCTACCATATCGACTGTACATTTCTGATAGGATTACATTTGGTATGTTTGGGTGTGTGCATTAATTCAGCTAATACTGTTATGCTATTATACATGTATGCCTACTTTTAATTACATTTTTAACTTTTGTTTACCTTATTTTTTTTCCCTTCGCATTTAGAATCCGTTTATATTGTTTTTAGGCAGGCCTCTTGTCTAAACTATGATGCAACTGCACAAAAGACAAGACCACAGTGACATACATGTATCATCTGAATACATATTTATTAGATAAATATTAGGTTGTCACATCATCTAACTACATACAGTTCTGCAAGACTAAAAATCACAATTAGTTCCTTTATTTTCTGACCAGTTTAGAATATGAAATGATTGTACATACAATGTACACAATAGAGACAATGGCCACATTGCATGAATAACCTTAGATTGTGTCATTTTTCCAACTTCTTATGATATCAAAAAATTGTACAAACTATGGATTTGGTTACAATCTTTTGGACCAGTCCCTCCCACCACCTTCCTCCCACCCCAGCGAAATAATTTACTTGTAACCTTGTTTTTACTTCCTTTTTTAGCTTTAGCACCTCAGTGTATGCAGGTGACAGACTAGAACACTTAGGCTAAATATTACATATAAAACATAGCTGTCCCAGTCCCCTGACATAAGAGGTGAAAGTATATTACAGAGGGAGAACAAAATGCTGAAAGATACCCACAAACATTCACAAACAACTTTCATTTTCCATATTTAGCCACTTCCAGTAGAGGGGTTGCAAGCTTTTTATTATTCTGAAGAAACAATGCACATTCCCAGGGAACATGAATACATTTCTGTTCACATGTCTCTATAATCATTTACATATATACAGGCATCCTTGGGACGTTTGATCTAGCCTTGCCCTCGACATCCTTTCCCAGCCAGAATGATGCACGTGCCCTTCCTCTCCGTATTTTGTATTCATTTTTATTTTTTTAAACAATTCCCTAAGAGTAATGGCCCTTTTATAGTGATTGTGCATCAACAGATTTGGGGTGCTTCCTTATAGATCAAATTGGCTCACTTGGAAGTGAGAACAAAATGTGAAATGATGAAGACTTTCATGGGAATGAACCAAAAGTTTCAATTCAGATAACGAAAGATGAAAATGGGGTAGTGTATAATTTCAAGGGGGATTATTCGATGTGTCTTTGTGACATAAATATGAAACAACATGTCAGTGTGCTGAACTGGTAAAAATAATATTTTATAAATGATATTTAAAATAATGTTTACATTAAACCAGGGTGGTTATATCAGCACAATGCTACAGTTGAAATAAAATTGGATTCCTAGCCTTACAGATCAATAAGAAAAACCAATACAAAATAATTTACCAAAAAACAAAATATGGGGATACAAATGTATATGGTCTGGTGCCTTTTAAAAAAGCCACATTTTCTTTAACAAAAATATAAACAATATTGTGGATTTCTTTAAAATATGGTTGTGATATATCTTTAAAATACCACTGTGTATTAACAATTAGCAACAATTATGATATTCACATAGCCCACTAATTACACTGAAAGCCAGCTGATACCACGTCTTTTTAAAAAAAAAACATTATTGTTTTGTATCAATGATGTTAACAGAAATTCATGAATACACAAACTTTTCAACCGAATACATCTGAGCGTGAAATAAAATATTGCAAGCTTGACATCTGAAAACTGAAATGATGCTACACAATCACCGTGAGCTGATGCAGGGAAGACGGGACACATCAAAATGGGACGCCTGTCTATAAACGACAGGCGTGAGACAGAGTGCACTGGGAGGAAAGTGATGAGAAAGCACGCGACCTGCAGGAAATAGCTTATGAGACATTTGGACTGGCTTCCTCACAACAAGGATGCGAGAGAGCTGTCGTACGCTGGTTACAAACAAAGTCAGTGGTTAGGTGGGAGTTGTCTGGGAGCACACGTTGTTAGGTCGGACGACTAATGATCAAAGGACAAACATTATCAAGATGATACAAAAATATTCACAATGATATTTACAGTACAATAGCTTTTTCTTAAAAAATAATACATTTGCATACTGAACAGCACTCTTCTCCAAAGTGAATTTGAAAACAAATGTGGCTACACCAATACTGCTTTAAAAATCACTTCTTGAACAGCATTGATGGATAAACTGCTTTTTTCCCTCCCCTATATCTTTGAAATCAATATTTCCTCCCTTCACACCAATAAAAACACACTCACATAGTCTCACACTCACACATGCACACACTCACAGTCACACAAAGGACCAAGCAAACACAAACCTCCTTATCCTCATCCCTCTACCTTTGGTGATTTTGAGCAGTTTCCCAAACGATTTATGGATAGTTTAATTTTGCAGCAACAAAAACAAGAAAACAAACAAACATAATACATTATATCCAGCAAATACATGATAAATGTATCGCTGTTATCAGCATTATCCCTTCAATGTTAGTGTTAAATAAATCGTACTAAATCTGACAGAAATCAAAAACAAATGTACAAACAAAAAGAGCCATGGAAACAGCAACTGATAAAAACCACACTATCTTTTTTTTTAACCACTTGGAACATCACTAGACAAGGGCTTGGCACACATGCACTTTGTAGACTACTTTAACAGCACATCATTTAACAGGGAGAGAGATGCAATGTTGCAAAAATGCAAAGCAGACGGCATGGAAGGAGTCGTAGCAGGTAGCGATAAACGCAGCAGAATCTTTACAGGAACCCTGATCTCTCTTTTATTTCCATTAAAGTCACTCCTCTGCACAGGAGGATGATACTATACTATTGGACTATACAATATGTAGAAGGTATTCTTGGTATGCAATATAAACGTTGTTTCTGTTTTAGTGGGGCCAAAAACCTTACAGCTGTCATCCCTTTAGGGTGACAAAAATATGTATATATCACAATTGTAGACAAAGCCAATCATTCCCCAAAACCCTTTTGACCAAAACATTTAAAAAACAAGGACAGACATACGCTGATCTTAGTGACCTTTTTTATTTTTGTAAAGACCTATTTTTCATTTTGCATTGCCAAAATCTCTTGTGCTTTTAAATGATGTGTGGTGGACAAACAGTGCGGCTAACAAGACCAGTCAGGGAATGGAGCTGTGACACCAGGAAGCTGTGGCCTCTCAGTTTGGAATAACAAAATGGATTTAGCGCACACTGGCCAGATAGCGCAGGTTTTTTCAGTTATTTTTTCTGTTTTATACAGTGAATTCCTTTTTCTTCTCAAAAGGACACAAAACATGGATAAAAAAATGCTACAACACGATCCTAATGTGCACACATACACCTGTGTGTGGCGTAAAAAAACAACTGAGTATAGCTGCACAGTTCAAAAGTATCGCCACGTTGTGAGAGGAACCCCCCCCCCCACATCCCACTGTTTCTTGGAGTTTGAACCTCTTTCAGTCAATCTGTGCTGGCCAATGAAAACTGTACAAGAGGAAGAAGAGAAAGGGAGTGCATCTTTGTGTTTATCAAGTACTGAGCGACGGCCCGGGGTTCTCGGGGGAAACTGCAGGCAGTCAGAAAAGTTTGTGTCTGATTTGCCTCAGTTGTTTTCGAAGAGCGATAGAAGGTCATCGTTGCTATTGCTGGGAAGGTCGGGGGGGTCCAGGTACGACAACAGCTCCTCTGGGTTAGCAAGCTCTGGAAGAAGCTGTAAGGAAGGAGAAATTGGTTAGTCATTGAATACACAAACTATTAAATACGGATATTTTCTGCTGTGTGTCAGGACTCACGTCTAAAGAAGGCTCGGGCATGTCCGACACTCCTTGGCTGTCCAAACTACTCGAGGGGTTAAAGGACAGGTCGCCGTGGGGATGGTTGTTGGGGCCGGGCGGTTGCTGATGTTGCTGATGTTGTTGATGTTGCTGATGTTGCTGATGTTGCTGATGTTGCTGATGTTGCTGAGGAGGCGGAGCTTGTCGTGACGGCTGAGGAGGCCCGTTGTGGTGTAGCTGCTGCCCTGATTGGCTCCCAGGATGTGGAGATGCATGTAAGCTCTGCAGAGGACCATGTGAATGGTCATTGCCTACAGAGTGAGGTATCTGTGGAGAGATGGGGAAATAATCAGACCAGGGTTGTTACCGATAGTTACTAATATGGTCTAAAAAAAGGCTCCACACATGCTGTATTTGTGAGTGAATTCAAAAGGTTTCTAGTGTTCGTTGGAAATACTAGCAATACTAGAAAAGCTTTCTTTCTGAATGTTACATAACAAGATTGGTGGATGAAGTACTCAGATCTTCTAACTAAGTAAAACTAGTAATACTAATGTGGACACACTTGTAAAAGTAAAAGTCCTGCGTTTAAATGTGTCATTATTTAAAAGTACAAATAGTACAAAAAGTAATATTGCACAAAAGCCCATTTTAAAATAATTTAGTGGGAATGCTGATACAGCATTCCCACTACTTGTTCTTCTACGCATGAATTCTTAATTATTATTATTCCGCCGGGTTATTTTGCGCCTCTTCTGCTCCCACATTCCACATCGCAGAAACTCCATTCAAACATCAAAACGTTCAGCTCGACCGGGAATCGATTGCCATTACTTTTCTCATTCATAACTTTCATAATTCCCGAGATATATCCCATAAGTTATCACATTTTTAACATGGAAGTCAATGGAGAAACTCTTCAGACTTGAAAAATCTTCATGCGACTTCAACTGCTACTTCATACATTCACTCAGAAACCTCATTCCAACTTTAAAATGTTACACATCTTTCTGACATTATTCATTTTACGCAACTTTGAAATCTGATTCATACCTTTAGAGATATTAAACATTGTTCAGACCTTGGTAAAGAGGCCTTCTTCAGATTTTAACATTAGTGTGTATTGCGCAGCTCGTTAAGGCTAGAGTGCGTGATGTCACAGCTAGAGTGGGGGACAGCTTGAAATTCGCCTTCATATATTTTATTTTTTTAAACCTGCCATATTTCCCAAACCCTACATTCCTGCGGACATAATTTGTCATGAAAAACGTAGGAAAACATCTCGTAGCTTGAAAAATTAAAAAAAATTAAGCAAAACAAATAAACAAAATGCCTCTTGAGGGCATGAAGTGACAAAAACTTTCAACATGTCTCCATTAAGGCCCATTGTAAATTCAGCCTGATCTTTCCTCACAGCAGCAGCCGCACACCTTTAGTTAATCTGCCAAAAATACCACATTATTGACCCAAAAGTACACAAAAAGCAGACTGAGTATTATTATATTATTGAAGAATTATCATTGACACATTTATATGTACATCCATCTTGAGTTGCAGCTGGTTTAAATTTAGCTTCCGTTTTTTATATATAAAGTATAATAGTTTAGAAATAGTTTAACAGACAAACATGGAAGCAAAAAAGTGAGAAACAGTGACATCTTCAAAAATCTGATATGGTTAAAAAGACAGAGAGAGGGGAAAACTCACCGAGTCGGGCATGTTGTGTGAGAGCGGCTTGTCCTGGCTCATCAGGCTGTTGGGCATGTCGGGGGGGTGAGACAGCTGGGGGCCGTGCATGAAGTCGTTCATCGATGTACCACCAGGGGCGCCGTGGGGGAAGTCAAAGCTCCCATGGTAACTGTTGCCTAGCACACGAAATAAAAAAACAGTAAATACATAGTCAGTACATTTTTCTTACACTTCTTCTTAAACTTCTGTTGAGGAAGACATATTTTTAGTCTTTATCTTATTAATACTTCATATTTATGTCATACCTTGGCTGCCGTATTCACTGTTGTTGCCGCCTTGCGGGGAAGATAATAACGGGTACGGTGTCGGTCCCGGGCCGAGCTGAGCTATCATCTCCATCACATTGGGCATGATCATTTGGCTGGGGCTCATAGTCTTAAACCTTTTGGCCAGTGGTCCATCTGGATCCTCCTTGATGTGGATATCAGATTTAATCGCCACCGGCCGCCAACTACACGTCGGGTCGATGGTCACCTCTTCAAACTCCGAGCTGGTTAAATACAGATTAAAAGTTTAAGATTGAGACACGAAGATAGAAGTCATTATATGGATAGTACATTTGTTTTCAACTTACTTTTGGATTGCGTTTAAGATTCCCCACATATACTGGTCAACTTCGAGTCCCTCTAATAACGCTGTTTTACTGAGGAGAGAAGAGAGACAGGGTTTAAAATGTTAAGAGAGACAACTATGAGGATTCTAGTTAAAGCTATACACATGGCAATTACTGTTATCTGTTAAAGCTTAATAAACTTACTTGCATACAGGACATCGCCATGTGCCCCGCTCACAGTTCAGTTGTAAATATGATTCCAAATCGAAACACTGCAAGAAGAGAAAAAGAGTTTCATTTTTTATCCATGACACTATTATAAAATGACTTTTCCCTTTAGCCATCAGCTTTCCGACTCCTAGTGTGTTTATTTATCCCTGAGGTGTTTACCTGAACGTGTTTGCAGTCATGTCCTCTTGCTGGAAGCTGTATTCGCCGGAAGGTGATTGGACATTTGAGGGAAACTTTAATAGCTGTTTGCTCCACGCCGTCTTCTCCGTTGAGCGTCGGGTTCCCCGATGACGCTGCTACGCTGCTGAAGTTCCTCTTAACTTTATAGCAGTTGGAGAGAAATATGGTGCGTAAGCAAAGACTCTGAGAATGATCAGGACATAGGGTGCAAAATGTGACTGTGTTCTTTGGTGATACCTTTGGTGATGCAGTGCTCTGCAGGCAGAAGCCTCTTCTTCAGTAAGCCCTGGAGGACAGAGCGGACTGATGGCCTGTGGACAAGCTGCAGCACAAACAAGTGCGACTGCAAGAGAAAACACAATTGTTACTATCCCACACCCAAAACACCCAAAATAATGAAACTGGATTGATCCTTTTTTTTTACTTTTATTCTAAGCTGTAGCATTAAATATTATTATTTCAATCTGGAGAGTGTACTCACACAGCAGCAGGCAGTTACTGTGATCTGGATCGTGTTCCTTCCTGGTTGGCATACGTGTTTCAAGTGCAGGGGTTTATGGGAGGTCTTGTTGTCGCCCCGCTCGATGGTGAGTGGCGTGGCATTTACGCTGACTTGGACCGATGCCGGCCAGTTGGTGTTCATCTGACGGTCTTCGTGGTGGTAACACTTAAACTGCAGCTCCAGGTCCGATCTGCATAGAGAAGAAAATATAGATGTTCATTTGGAAGTGTAACAGAGTAATATACAGAGATATTTCGTCCCAATCAATTCTAAAACAAACAGACTGCCAGTGATGGGAGGCTACATCTTGGATGATGTTATCATTTGGCATCAGAATGAATCTTCACTACTAGATTTTTGAAGCTGTTGAAGCTCCAGACAGGAGAGTAACTTTATTTTGAGAGGGGAGTAGATAATGCCAATAATCTAAGTCAGAGAAAATTGAGACATGAATGACCTTCTCTAAGATCGCCAGGAATAGTGGTGTTTTATTCAGTATGGATGCACAATCTGTTCAATCTTCTTGCTAAAGGTTAAGAGGAATGAAATACTCATGGATAAAACTCGAGCTTATTATTGAAAGCTTAGTTTTTCTGTGGACTGACAACCAGATGTTCAGAGATGCCAAAAAGAACAATGAAAGAAATAGAGATTCTTCAAAATGAGGTATCATGCAGACTGTTAGTCAACAGCCAGCAACTTAATCAGGGATTTAACATTTGTATTTCCACCTAATTCCAAGAGCCACTTTAACAACAATTTAAGTTGGATTGCACCTTCTCTCTCCTTGTTCTATTTGGAAAGGTAAGAGCCAGACTATTTCTTAACTATATAAATTGCCAACAGTTCCCAGAGACATTGGAAACATAAAATTGCCCCAAAACAAAAAGACAATTTTTTTCTCACCGAATATCTATTAATATTGTGTGTTGATTCAGTGTGTGATATCTTACCTCCACATGAGCGTCTGGTGTACCGAGGGCCGTAAGTGGAAGACGTGGTTGCTGACAGCCAGGTTGTGCTCTAGCCTGAAGGGCTCAAGGACTACTCCGTCCCGCACTGGGAACGTCAGCCGCAGCTCCTCCTGGTTGGCTACATTAGTTGAAGAAGAGCCACAGTTAGATTATCATGAGGTTTTAAAGGAATAAATGACACTTCAATCAAATGTTTCCAGTTACTGACCTGGAGGGGGAGGGAGAGTGTTGATATTTGGTTTGATGTCCGGAGGGAAGGGTGGTTTCACGTCCTGGTTTGGCGACAGGTATGGAGGGATGTTACTTCCTGGGGTCATTGGAGGGGTGGGGTTGCCAGGCACTGGGGAGTGAGGGTAGTTACCCACCGGTCTGGGAGGCTATAGGGAAAACAATCGATTAGTTGATCCAATGTTTATGGGACTGTGAGAAGCACAACCAGGTGTATGATATAATAATGTGATAAAACTAAATGAGTAAAAACATGAACTTACCCCATTCATATTACCCTGGCTGTACTGATATCCACTCCCAGAGAAGTTATTTGTTTGGCCATTAAAAGGTGGCTCTTGCTGCAATTTGATAAAACAAATACAAAAATTAGTTTTTCCACCTCCAAAATAACCTCTAATATGTGATAACAGAATTTATTTTGTAGTTGGACAGTCTGGTGGATAGGATTTATATATTTTCCCAGAACATTTTCTATACATTACAATGAATCATGACTGCACCTTATAGTATTGGCCCATGACACCACTGGGGGGCGGGTATTGACCCTGCAGCTGCTGTCCTGGCATCCTCTGGCCGGGGTAAGTGGGGGATGACATCGGCCTCGAGGGGTTGGGTGTGGGGTATGGTCCCTGCTGGGTTGGGAACTGACCGTTTTGTCCATACTGCTGCCCACCATAGTTTGGCTGTGGATGCAGGGATGACAAACACATACATTCATCATACAGCAAACAAGCTAAAACGTGAAGGTGAACGTGTTGAATTCACATCGACTCACCTCCCCTGGGTACGGCCTTTTCATGCCCTGTATACCCATGCCCTGAGGCCGGGGTCCTGCATAACCTTGCTGGGGCATCCTTTGGCCGTGGGCATTGAAAGGCCCCATGCCTTGGCCCCTCGGCTGGTTCATTCCCATGGGGGGCCCGCTCATGTTGGATGGGTTCATGCCACCGCCCATGTTCCCAGGCATGGACGGAGGGCCGCGGGGTCCTTGCTGGTTCATGAACTGGCTGCTGTATGCCTGGTTTGGTCCCATCTGGAAAGAGGAACTCATCTAGAAGATAAAATGGGTTCAATCATCCAACTGCAGGTTGACTGTCAAAGCGGAAAAATGTTGCTAGTTAAATGTCACAAATGACAGGCTCAGCATTTGTTATAGCTAAAAGAACTATCTAGCTAAAGTTATATTTCAGCCAATTATTCACACTTAATGTAGATTCATCCTTATTCACAAATAACCCTAAATTCACTTCTCTTTGCTTCCTTTTCTAGTACTACTGCTACTATTAAAATTAATTGAGGGACTATCAGTTGTTTGTCGTGTCCTACCGGTCCATATTGACTCATGTCCTTGTTCTGGGTTTCCTGCATGGCAGCTACTGTCGCTGTGGCTGTGGCGGTTGCCGTGGCGGCAGCGGCAGCAACTGCGGCGGCGGCGGCAGCAGCGGCAGGCTGGGTGAAGTCTGACTGAGGGCGGGAGTGTGGAGGCATGCCCATTCCTCCGGGTCCACCGTTAGGCCCTCCAGGGTAACTATGACAAAGAGGAACACAATATGAGCTCAGAGAGTTTTAACTATCAGAATAACTTCTCTGTAAGCTATTTCTATCAATGCAACATCCGGCACAAAGCCTCTGTCCACTTACTTGCCACCAAAGCCCCCTCCTCCAGGGTAGTTGGGTCGTCCGTACATGCCCTGCTGCATGTAGCCCTGGTTGGAGTTGCCTTTGTTGGGGAACTGCTGTTGAGGACCGGAGAACTGAGGGGAGTTCATCCCAGGATTGTTCCCAGACATACCCGATCCCATCGGGTTGCCCCCAGGGTTCATGTTGTTGTTGTTCACCATGGGGTTCCCCAACACCTGTTGGACATACAGAGAGATATACTTGTGTAAATGTTGTGTGCTTTAACAAGAAACCTCATCCTTTGTTGGACATGTAAGGGATCTCACCTGGCTTTGCGACGTGTTGGTCACGCCCCAGACGGTGGTAACCACCGACAACGAACCTGGAGGCTGATTGGTGTTCTGTTGCCAGGGAACTGAGTCGTAGGGGAAAGACCCATCTCTGCTGAGGATGGATAAACAAACATCATGTAAGCTGAACAAAATGTGCCTTGCGTCACTGCACAAATATTAGCCGTGTACAAAAGTACAGGCACAGGGAACAAAAAGGATTGTTAGGATTATAAAATAAAACCATGTTCTTCCTCTTGCAGTGGAAAATACATTGTGTTGTAATTATTAACTAAATGTTTTAGAGGTTGTGATGTATTTATTCCCAATTGACTGTGCGACAAGCAGTTAGTCTGGCAGTTTGTCTCTCCACTGATCCATGAGGAACACCGGGCTTCATGTGGAGAGGAAGGGCTTTCCCCAAGGGCCTGGTCTGTCTGTTCACACAGCTAACACATACATATAAACACACCTCACACTCAAGCCAAAAAGCGCAGCAGTGTGAACACTGACCCGTGTGAGAGGCCGGGCTTCATGGAGCTCATGGGGGGCTGCATGGGCACTTTTCCCGGAGGCTCGTTCTGCCTGCTCTTCTGGTGACGGAGGAGGAGGAGGCGTCCAAGTTCCTCACACCACGAGGACAGAAGAGCTGGAAGGAGAGCAGAGGAAGAGTGCATTAGTGAAATCCTGTGAGAAATAACTGCAGAGGTAACAGCCCTCTACTGCAAGCGCTGCAAAAACCTGCAAGAAGTGATTATGTGAGGAAACGAGGGCAGACAAAACAACAACTTAAGAACAGAAGCTTCTGAAAACAAGCCTGACTGACAAAATGGTGTGTATCTTTGAGCAGAAATACACTGACAAATTGGGGAGGGCTGTCTGCGCAAAATAACAGAACAAAAAAACAGAAACATGTACAGTGCACACTAAAATAATATATACCAAAAACATTTCAAACAAAGACAAAAATGTAGGCCCTTTTTTAAAATAATCTACTGATTAAACAATGTTATTTTAATTTGTTAGTTTATTTAGATGAACTCATTATTTGATTATTTTTGACAGGTTTATGTTTATTGTAGTGTAGAAGTTAAATGTATTACTTATCAATGTTGATGCTAAAAGCAAGGTACACATTAGCTGCCCGTTTACAGTCCGCCAAATTTTTGTTTGTGTAGTGCACCACCCAACTAGTGGTGAGTTAGTTCACTGTAATTGACTAGAAATCGACATGAATCATTTTTCTTTAATAAGTAAAATAAGTAAAGTGAGAGATACAATGTTGCCAGTTGAGGAGCAGCTCATCTTGTAACATTTCAACATGCAAATAAGCTCTACAGCAGTTGATACAAACAATGATAGATAATGTCATGTTTGGGCTTCTTTATGCTGCAATACTAAAGATTAGCTTTAAATCCAGCATGTCACTGCATCTCCTGGCCACTAGGGTTCACTCTGGGCCCGCAAATGGACTCCAGCCATTCCCTCCTCTCCCTCTCCTCCTTTCCTCCTTCCTACCTACCACTCGGTTAGGTAGCCACCACAGAGTGTGTTTGATCGAATCATATGCTTTTCATCTGCAGTGCATGTTTTGTACTGTGCCAACTACAAAAGACTCACTTTCGCTTTTTCTCTCCCTCTCCCTGCCTCCTTCTAGCTTCTCTCTGTGGCGTCAGAGGAAAAAGGGAATGTGGATTCAATCAAAGAGCAGGGCAACCACCTCCTCTTATGATTCACAGCACTTCTACAGAGACTAAGGAGCGACGAGCGAGGGGAGGGAGGTGTGTGGGGGGGGGGATATAGAGAACGTGGTGATTTTAGCTGTGGTTCGCGCAAAAGCCACGTCAATATGACAGCAGACAGTCCTCGCAGGCAGATCGACCCTGCTGCCACATGCAAGGACGGGCCGCCGCAGCACATATTACACAGAGGGGGGAGAGAGACAGTGACAGAGAGGAAGAGAGATAAAAAAAAGCTTGAGTGAGTCAGTGAGAGAGGAAGCATCAGGCTAATGGGGCTGATGGGAGGAAGGAACAAACAAAAGCTTCCGACTCCCATCACAAACATGGCAACCCAGAGATTTGACCACACATGAGTGCTTGCAAACAGAGCCTACCGACACCCACCTAAGGAGAGACACCACACTGGCTTACAGCATAGAGGTAAGAATAAATAGGACATGAGACGTCCTCTGAGTGGCGCCGAATTTCCGAAGGACAAAACTGAATTTCAGCACACACACACACACACACACACACACACACACACACACACACTCTCTCTCTCCTCTCAGAGCATCGCACCCCAAAAGGCACGTCCTCTCCTTTCATTTGAACACTGAGCACACCAGCCTCGCTCTGTGTAAAGATGAGGGCTGGAATACAAAAGACATGTACAGATGGTGCCAGCAGTCTCTCTGCCTCTCCCTCTCCTCTCCCTCCCCTACCTCCCACTCCTTTAAAAGCAGCACGGGGCTCAGGCACAGAGGCAGCTGGGTTTTTCCTCCTTCCCACCCATGCTCCCTCTCTTTTTCTCTCCCCCCCCCTCCCCCCTCCTCCTCCTCCTCCCTGCCTCCTGTTCTTGGCAAGGCAGGTGCCAGGAGACAGGCTGTGTTGCTCCTCCTGAGGATTGATCTGACTTTACATCGGCTGCGCTTTGGTCGACAGGAAAGGCCTCTCAGGTGCTGTTCTCCTGAAAAACATCACACTGGCAGGTAGACGCACAGATTTGTAGGTTAGCTTTAATTAAATGGAGCCGCGGCCAAGTGCGGCTAATAGGTTTACGAGTTTCACATCTATGTTAGAACGTCCTCCAGTGTTTCAACAGCACCCTCCCTCTCCCCGGACCCCTTTCTGATGGATTGAGTTTTCAATTCAAGGGCCTGGCGATCAGCCAGCATGTTACAGCTCAATTAGGTCCCATTATTCTCCTCCAACAAGGGGTAACTTGCACTTCTTCTATGTTGACAAACATGTCTCCACAATTTATCCCCTAACTGTGGCAATGAGAGGCCGTCGTTTCACACCGAGGCCGATATCAACAGCCACAGACAAGTAGCAAAATTACAAAACATATCTAAGAGAAGTAGAGGAAAAACAGCAGAGAGAAAGAAAAACACCAGTGCTGCCACTTAAAAAGGAATTACTTTACCCCACCATTAGATAAAGGGCTTATCACCACACTAAATTATCACCTCTGCTGAGCACCAACCCGTTTAAAGGAGAGGCACTCTATCATTGACTCAGAGGATAAACTTCAGGTTTCATATGACAGGAGGAGGAACACCTTACTCCTCACGGTCTCTCCCTCCTTCACCTAAGCATCTCTCAGGACAGAGCGGATGATGAACACAAAAGGATTACTGTTTTTCTTCCTTCCTCGCTCAGACGACCCTTTAATAGACTCATCTGTGCCACTAGAGCAAAAAGTGGATACAATAGTTTCAGGTGTAGCGCTTCCAAATCACCACGACTGTTGAATCAAAGTGCCATTTGGTGCTACAGAGCATCTTTTAGCTCTGTTTACATTGCTCTCCCTGGTGACTATGGGTCTCTGTCTTCCATAAGGAGAGAAGCCTATCCTGTTTGCCTTGTGTATAGTCCCAGGAGCCCGGCTGAGTCTGAGCCGTATTGATATTCTGGTGCTCAGCTGTGCGGCCTGATGGTCAGCCACATTGAAGGGCGGTAAATGCATCTGCTGGGAAGAGATGGGTGGTTCAGTGGCAGGGCCCGCAGCTTCCAGCTCGCTTCACTCTCCGTCATAAAGCCCCGGGGAGACATGACAAACGACATGGACTGCATCCCTGACAGTTGTTCAATGCTCTTTCCAATGATAATTCTCCCCCACCCCAACTTTCCCCACAAATTCAGACAGCAGGAACAGAGATAAACTGTGCTGATTAAATGCCTCCATTTTGCCTCTTTCTGCTCTAGCAAAAGAAAAGGGCCTCTGGATTAAAGGGTCACTTCACCCAAATGACATGGTGCCTTTGGCGATTAGTTGTTGTGTTTTGCTAGCGTTTTGAGATATCTGTGTCTATGAGAAATATTTCACTTGTGCTGCTGAAGGAAAGAAAAGCTCTTTCCGGAAACAAAATAATTTTTACTTTACGTTTGATGAACAATCTTTAATAGAGCTACATGCAAAGGCTCATTATCTAGACTGTTCATGCTAGACCATCTCAAAGAATGTAACTATACATTGGGGCTATGGTAGCTATATGCCGCATAGGAAATGGAAGAACTGTGACTGGTCAGTTTGACCTGTCTTTTCAAGCTTTGTGTGAATACATGTTTAAAAGTTATAAAACAAGTATTTTCAGTCAAGAGAGTTTATCCCTATGTCGTATCACAAATAACCTGCGACTATAGGCTAATTAACAATAAATCTGTTTATTGTAGCAGTGTATCACCACAATAAACCCAAAGGTATTCTCCAGGTATCTACGGTAAAACTCCCATTACCCCTCTAAGTAAAATATAAATACATTTTTATATGTGCTATGAAAACATGTTCATTTTTTAAACTTAAAAAAAATACAATTCCATTCACATGTATATTGTTAATGTGGATGCTTGAATAAAATAAATGTAATTTTGTGCTGCAACAGCTACCTCAGGGGGAGGATAACCCTAGAAACACAACATGATATTTCGCCATTAAAAGGTTACTCCTTCACTTGCTGCCTTCTCCAGAACATTTTCCAATACTTTTCCCCCTCCCTCTTTCCCTCCCTTTACTGGCAGGGGGACCGTAGTGGAGGCAGCAGGTAAGGCAGATGCCAAGAGCTCTTATGATCCTCACCCCTCCCTCCCTCTCTGGTCTGTATCTAATAGACACCTGCTCCCTTGTCCACCCTGCACTCCCACCTGGCATCGTCCCACATGGCTCGGACACTCACATCCACACAGACATACAGCATACATCCAGTCATCACATCACTCTCACATTATCAGCAGCACTTCCTTACTTATTCCCAAACTAACTATAACATCGCAATCCAATTTTTGCAATAAACCTGTCGGAGAGAATAACAGCCCCCAAACGGCTTGTTTAAAGACATTTAGCCAGAAGGGCTGGGAGAAGAACAAAGACCATGAGCAAACTAACAAGAACGGCTCTAGTGGGCTGCACTCTTTAGTTTCTGAGGGAGCTCTATTCACATTCTGTTCCTCCCTCCCTCCTCTCTCTCTCTCTCTCTCTCCCCAGAACGGTTTGAATGGACACAAGCCTCCTGCAGGCCAAAGTCAATTAAAATAAGAGAGAGTCTAGGGAGCCCTAGTATCCCTGGTTACTGAAAAGCACCTAAGAGGCCATGCAAAACAGCCATGTTTAGTTTAAGCCAAATAATTTCTCGCTTGTGTAGGCTTCCTGGAATCTGGGATTTACCTAAAAATGTATGGAAAACCTCATGGAAACGGGTTGCTGTGACTTACAGCCGTTGCCAATTTGTCCTGTGTAAAATACCGGCTGAATCGTAAATCATCTCCCTCTCGCCATCCGCCACAGTCGCCACAGAGCCATGGATGCCCGCCTGGCAGCAATCGAAACTCTCTTTTGTCTTCTCACAGATGCCACCAATTATTCATCATTGCCAATTTGATAATGAAATGGAAGCGACTCGTTCATCATGCAGTCTTTTGAGGGGCTGGTAGAACAGGTTATACCCTGTCATCCCCTGACAGACCAGAACTGTTACTTGTTCTTCTATTGTGCGATAAATACACCGCCTTGAACACATGGTACACATTTTGCCTCTCTGGTCACCCTCTCAACTCTGCTACGCTGCAGCACGGAAGCGAGTGTGAACTGGCTGTCGTAAAAACGAGTCTGTAAACTGATTTCATTAGCTCAGTTACTAAGATCTTGAAGTTGTTTGAGGCATTCCGTGACATAATTCAGGGTGAGTGATGTTTTCAGAAAGCCGATGAAGTGGGAAGGATGTGTGAAGCGGGAACATGTAAATGTCATGGCTGCCATGTGGTTTCAAAATGTGGCATGTTTCCTGAGGTCCTTTAAATACGCAGTCAAGGAGCTATCTCATTAAGTGAAAATGAGCTGAAAAACAAATAAAAAAAGATTACAATGGCAGTGAGTGTGTAGCAGTGGGAAAGTATGAGAAGCAGCTACATGTTGTGGATTGAAAGCATTAGTGCTAACAGTTATAAAACAGTCTGTCTATATAGGCCAGACACCCGCCTCCTGTCTGCACCTCATCTTTGTCTGATGCTTTTTTTCTCCTTGTATTATTTCCTCTGCCGCTCTCTCTCTGGGAAGTCAGGGATGTTGGAGTCTTGTCAATGAGTACTTAGGCCCGCTGCCTCATGGGGAGCCAGACATGCTGGCTAGGTTTTATGGCCCATTTCAGAGCTGCCCCGGCTTAAATACAGCCTCCTGCTGGCCACATGTCCGCAATGTCGTGCCATGTCCATCCGGCAAGGAGAACTGGGGGACGGGGGGACGGGGACGGCACACTTGGACTTATGCCAAAAAGGTTTTAGTGAGGCCACAAGCATATGTGACCATGTAGAGGCAACGTGAAGAAAAATTTAATTCTGCAGATTCTGGGTTGCTGATTTATAACCTAATGTGTTACTTGATGCAACATTAAATACGTCTTAAGACTGCATTCCTGAGATGATAGAAAAGATGTCTCTTAGTTTCTCTCAACTTCTCACTTCTGTTTTTGTAAGGACTTTTGTATTTATATATCCAGCTTACCACTTTTTGATGCTCATTTCTATCTATATACATATAAAAATGCAGGATTCCTTTTTTTTAATCTTCAAAAATGGTCAAACACATTTGAATTAAACCCGTGTTCCACATGTTAAAGATCAAAATCGGTATACTGTATATCTTTAGAATGAACTGAATACCAACATGATGCAATACACGCCACCATACACAGAATGTATGCAGATCTCATTACTCTGACTGACATATTTTGGTCATGGCTATTCCGGAACCAAACTTCGCCAAAGCAGGCCAATGTTTTAAAAGATAATCTCTCTTGGCACATGCAACAAATCTCTTCAACGAAAACAGGGCATGCTATTCATGGTCCCTCTGAAGCACGGAGGTGGAAATCCATAGAGTTTTACCCCCTGGTTAGAATTAAGTCCTTGTGCATTTAAGCCAAACATCTCCCTCGACCAACATTCAATCCGTTATTGTATGTCGCGCCATGCCACCCTAAGCTGATTGGGAGCACAACTCCATCCAAACCTACATCTTTATGTCTTAATTCAGGACCTCAGGCCTGCCAACAATGTGTTAAAGTGTCTGAGGTCAAGTTTCCTCAAAGAACAACAGCAGTGGTTATGTATGTTTTAGCACTTTAACTTATGCAGTATACTTAAACGCTAACTTTTAGTAAAGCATGCCATTGTGTTGACATTTTCTTTCCTACCATTTCCCTAATTTATTTAACTTAAGTTGTGAAAAACATAACAATCAAATAAATATCTGGAATGGAAATGCACTTTTAATTGAAAAATGGGGACTTCATTACCACGTAGTGATCAACTTACTTAAAGCAGAAGTGATGTTTTGTTCTTTTGTCTATTTTCAAAATGTTACTAATGTTGTTGTTTTCTTGTTTTATATAGCTTTTCAAGAAGTTTTTACAAGGTCTATAAAACTACACTTCATGTGGTTCATATGATTCACTGTTAATTACTCAACTGAAGTTTCAAGATTTTACAAACTGGTACTCCTAAAGTACAGAAATGGGTGGAAATAAATGAAAATAATATCTTAAAATATAATGCATGCATATATTTATTAAGGAGCTCAAACATGTAAAATTAGTGCCTAGCGCCAGGGAAAGGCCTCTTTATTGACTAGTAAAAGTGACAACCCTGTCACTTGACCACACTGAGGGTCCAGACACCAGCACAGAGTGTGTTTTTAACCGTGCACCAGATTATCAGACGAGCAGACCGGCAAAGAAGCTGCTTACAGGAGCCAGACTGTTTCCCAGAGCAACAGGCTGCTATTAACCAAGGCCCAGCCTTAAGCCCTCGTCTACAATGATACTAATTAGGCACGGAGCAGATGTGCCCGGGCTAGTGCCCACCTCAGGGTGCTGGGCAGGGCCGGCAGTGTCACGCCGGCATACGCTTGTGGCTGATTCACCTGCGACCTTTTCTCAGTGGGCCTGGGGTCAAAGCCTCCCCTTAGAAGTACAGTAGGAGCAGACACTGGAGGAGCCTGGGTCGGGGCCCGGCACCCCTCAAGCCTCATTAGAGGCGTCCATATGTGCAACAGCGCAGCATTTGGATAAAAAGCCTTAGTGTGATAAACACTCAGGCCAAACAAAAACAATACAACTATATCCATTTTAGGCAAACTGAGATTGATCTTATGCTAATTGTTTCTTACACATATGTTTTAATGACAAAATTAAGAGAATACATTTTCTTTCTTCTGTTTTGGCGTATTCATCTCATTACTTTGAACTGAATTCCTGCATTTCTAATAATGTTTAATTCATCTTATAATCTATTTTATAGCAGCAGATAATGCATTTCATACCGTAGATGTTTTTTTTTGTAATGCTTTTTTAAAATGATATTTTATTGTATACGTTATTATTCTCAGTTAATCTTCTGTTATTTTGTATACAAATAATATTCAAATATATATTAATTACACATATCGTGTATCATTTAATTGTGCCCTTCTATATGTGCCCAGGACTGAAACTTTATTTCTTCTATATAATCTCTTATTTGTTATATTATCATTTGTGCTAGTTTTCCTAGTTTCCTTACAGCTATCATTAACGTTTCATCACTTTATTCTAACTCTGGTATATGATATGTTCACGACTGCTATTAATACTATGTCTCAGAAGTGTGTAGGTGGGGGGGATAAATTAACATAAAAATCACCAAGAAGAACAAAGCATAAAAGTATATTGTAAAAGGCTTCGATGAACAGCTGCGAACAAAACGAAAGTGTGAACTGTGACGCAGGCAAGATGATAAAACTACATGTGTGACATGCTTCATACTGGAAAACTCCGACAGACAACACAACAGCAGCCATGGAGCTTTTTCTAAATGACCAACCAAAAAAAAGCACATCTGATGTCATTCCATGTACAGTATGTCGACACGCGCTGTGTGAGGACATACTGTAAGGACTGTGATGAGAATGGTAGTTTGGATTCAGCCAATGAGTTTCCTGTGCGACACACAGCAAGTACCTGAGTCAGACTGACACCTCCTGCAGCAGCTGGTTTCTGTAGGGTTCAAATTTTACATTTTACTGTACTTTACAAACATGTCTACGATATTCACTTAATGACAAACATTTGATAATTAGACACTCCCTTATCCAGACACAACCTATGAGAGAGGTATATCAGGTCATAACTTCACACACTGTCTAAAGACCTATAGGAAAAGGAGAGAATGATTGAAAATACTATACTTCAAATGAGAATATGACGGAATTGCAAAAACACTTTGAATAGATAATACTTTGTTGTGGTACAATATTACGATAATATTAAGTGACATGACATTCCTGCTACAAACACAACAAAAATGATGTTATATTTTGGGCTTGGTTAGTTTATTTGTCTGTCAGCAGGATTATGGAAATACTACCAATCTGATTTGAATGAGACTTAGTAGAAGGGTGTAGTATTATCAGTAAGAACCCATCACAGGCAGATTCAAAATGATGATGTATCTTTAACTAATGTTGAATCATAGGGCACTTGTGCTGCATCCACTTGGTGTCAAAATAATTTGAGAAAATGAGTTCCAAACTGGTTAAACTCACAGGAATGTCCCCTCAAGTTGAAACAACAACTCGTTCAACGCGTCTTCTTTATTGTCCCAACAGACTTGAAGCCCATGAACACACCAAAGTCTGAAGAACAACTTCCCAACATGAGAATTTGGAATATCCCAGGAGCATGTGAATGCACCCTTGGCCTTGATGGAGGTCTGTTTTCTCCATGTGCCATTCTAGATAGTTTATTGTTCTCCTTGGTGATACATATAATCACCATAGGATATTTGCTAAATAATGAGCTTACTCTTCTCAGTTACTATTGATTGAATCTATAGCTTTTTATCCAAGCGGTTAACATCCATCAACATTTTATGATAGACAATGATGTGTGTAGATGTGGATTGTGCCCCATGTGTAAGAAGTATTACTGAAATCTCTGCTCTACAGCTATAAAGGTTGATAAAGGTCATAGATTACTTAATGCCTCTTTAATGGGAAGCTTTAGCATCGTCCAATAGCGTTATTTGTAATCTCTTATTACTGTCTCAGCATTATTTTCTGGTTCCTCTCCAGTTAAAGATCTCTCTTATCTGACCTCTGAAAGCATATTTTCACTGCTTTCTTAACCACACTTAAAGGATTGTGTGAAAGACTTTACTCCCTTTCTGCAGAAGCTAACTCACTGCTGTAGATAGAGATCAAGTTAAGTATTTCCACTGATACTTGATCCACACCGACTGATGATTACTTTGCACCTATGCGATTGATCATAAATTAAGATCAAATAACAGCTCACCCACTGAAGTCTGCCTCTGGATGCTGTTGTTTGTTCTTTAAAGGACTTACAGAGAGAATAACAAGTAGGCGGATGCGCTTGTGTTCCCCTTTGATGTGAGCAGCAAAATCCACCTACGCTTACACATTGGTATTTCAATGCAAGTTTAAAACTCTGGTTGTGATTTTCAGAGATCACATAACACGTAGTCAGATTTTTGTGTCAAATATTGAATGACAAGTATATTCCAATTAAGTACACTGTAATTGTTCACTATCTAGAGTTTGTTGAGATGAAAAAATATCATTATTCATGATCTATTTTACGGGTTGGCAGGTTGTATTGCTTGCCTTGTCAACTTCGTATTCTAAGATTTATTTTCAAATGTGATCAAAAAACTATTTTGATTTTGATTGGAGCGGTGAACACAATATATTATGTAGTAGAAGTTTGAACAGACTGCATCCTGTGAAAATGTCTCATAGCTGGAAGTTCTGTAGAAAACGACACGTAAAAAAACAACAAAAACTCGACATGATCTTCAAATACGCGAAAAGTTATCAACGGCTCAGATTATATATCATCAAACCAAAGAAAGAGGTCACTGCAATTCCTCAACTTAGTAGATAAAATAACATCTCCAATACAAAGAAGAGATTCATCAAAGCTGACAAAACAACAGTAATAAATAGTTTTAAATGTGCTGTACAGCTCGCCAGACATCTCTTTAAGAACACCGCCTGTTGACAAACCACTCCTGTCTTAGCATGTTGGCAGCCATCCTACTCACACATATTAAGGGTAAAACATAATTGAATAATTGCCTAAACCAGGACTTTACTGTGCAGTTAAACAAAACCCTTCTTAGTGGATAAGATAGAGGGAACAATAACAAAAACACCATGCCAGAAGAATTGTCAAGTGAAGCCAAAAAGAGAAAAAAAAAACGAGACCCAGCTGACTTTCTCTCTTTATAGGAAGACTCCGCGCAAAATCTAGTAGGTTGCTCCCAGAGATGGGTTCGTTACTAACAAAAATGTAATATATAACATATTACTTTAAAAAAAAAAGTAATGTATTACACTACTTCGTTACTATTTACATAAACTAACTCGTTACTTTACTCGTTACTTTACTCGCCGAGCACGTACGAACTGCGCATGAATGAGTGGCAATAACTCTTCTTACCAGCAGGCGGCGGTAGTGTGTATTTGTCATTCAAAACAGTCAACAACCGGAAGACAGCGAAGAAGAACAGACTACGTGATATAAACAAACAACAAATAGCGTGTGCGTTAGCTTCACCTTAGCATGTGTTCTTTGCAGGTGTTTCTTGAGGTTTGACGTGGTGTTTACAGCAGTGGATAACAGCTTCTGGCCTGGACACAGTTTGCACCTCACCGTCACATTCCTGTCTATTCTTCGGACGAACTCAAAATAATGGGCATACCTCCACCCCTCGAAAGTTATCGCTGACTCAGCCATGTTAATGCAGCACTGCACGTGGAGATGTGGACGCGCAAGTCGNCCGACAAATAAATGTAATACAAGACAAACGACAATAACGAGTAGGTGACTTTTTGACAGGTCGTAGTCATCGTACCGAATGCCCAGTGGACATATCCAAACTCCAAAAGCTGTCGACAACGAACCGCACGCTCTTATAAGCGAGGCTGAAAGAGGCGCAGGGGCTCTAACCCGGGAAGGGTCATCAACGCTCTCTGTCTATTTATGTTCGCTTGCTGTTAGTGTTGTTGCGTAGCAACCACCTTGCACTATGTTTTGTGAGGAAGGCAACGGAGGGACTATTTTATTTTGAACATCATTATTTACTAATAAAAACTATTTAAATTTAGAGTGTGTATTTTTCTTTCATATTGCCACACTTGGTAACCGTTTTATAAAAGCAATAGCTCACTTCAGGCCGTGATATATGCTCATTATATCACAGCTAAGGGGCGTGGTTCGGCCCGACGCGAAGCGGAGGGTCGACAACCCCCTTAGCTGTGATATAATGAGCATATACCACGGCCTGTCGTGAGCTATTGCTTAAATATATATCATATATACTTTTCCTTTGGATGTGTAGAAGAAGAAGTAGCCACTTTATTTGTCTCCTAGGGGAAATTAATGATTTCACTGTTTCACCTATTGAGAGGTGCCAGAGCAAAGAGGCTGCCTTATTTGACAGCACCAGGGAGCTGGCTCAAAGCTCAAAGCAGTACAAGTACTGCCAAGCCAAGTCCCTACGGACTGTTATTGTGTCATCTTAGATCACATATCTTTTAAAACATTTTAATAAGATCGATTCAGGCGATGAAAGTATTTTGGAGCTAATCGTTACAGATTAATTAGTTAATGTGGTAGTACTGTTCGAATGTATTGACATGTCTATGTCAATAGGCTTAGTCTTTTTTAGTTTATGAAAAAATGTGAAACTGGCTCCAAGTACAAAAGTGATCAAACTCAATCCCCTGAAAAACACTGTAGTATGTTAGAAAACCATGCAATTCCACCTTCAAGTATACATTTCCAAGCTTATGCAGACCAAGTAGTGAGTCTTTTAACAATAAAGAAAATGGTGTTGTGTCTAACCCCAACCCTAATCAGAACATTTGCAGATCAAGAAACGGTGATGCATCTTATTGGTAAGGGTGATTCCTAAAACCATCATCCTGCTCATTGAAAACAAAGTAGCGTATTTCTTTAAGGTAATCCATTTGCAGGACTTTCTGGTAAAGCAGAAAGGAATACACACTTGACTGTTTGCCCCTTAATGTGAGGTTCAGAGTTACTAAACTCTTAAAATAGGTCTCCGAAATGGCTCGGTAATTGAGGTGATTCCAGACTGGTAAAGACCCAGACTTCATCTCTTCAATGTCATTATGAGAATAAATGTAAAGGGAGTTAGGTTAGGCCTATTTAAGGAGGCCCAGAACATGGGAATGTTGTGAGCAGGATGAAGAAAGCCCAGATGGAATGAGCATAAACCAGTCTGTTTTACCTTCTAACCTTTGAAATAACTCAGAGCCATTTAGCAATCCCTATGGAACCATTAGAGTTTTTTTGCAGTGGGCCACACTATAAAGTGTGTTACAATAAAGATCAAGAGAAACCTTAGCGCAGGAAATGGTACAGTGCCCAGTGTTCTGGTTCCTCCAGTGATATTTATAAAAGCTCATAAATGTTTCTTCAATGTTACGCTTTTCCCATTATGAACAGCTCCATAGAACATGTAATTTCAGGTCGTAGCATAAAATATACATGTATTGCTGTTGTGTGTGATATAATTGAATGCAACAAGTTCTAAAATAATGTGTTGATCATATCAGTATGCCCAAGGCTCCAGATATGTGGGTTGGTGCCAGAGGTTGGGGGGGGGGAGGGGCAGTGGGTACTACCAGCTGTTGTTGGTGTACACATTAATAGACATTAGCGATGACATTCAGGCCAAAGCCATTATATGTTATGTACACCTTAACAGTGTGCTTTGTTCCAGTGGCATACACCAAACACTCATGTATTCTGTTCACTCTGCAGTTGTTAATAGATAACATCCCAAGATGCAATGCAAAACAGACGCATGAGAGTGTCCCTGTAGAGAACAAATTGTGTTTTTCAGAAATGCCTTGCCCAAAAACATTTTATGCGAATGTTTTGCATTTAATTTACAATTACATAAATCAAGTACTTTAATGCTGGACTGCATTTATATAG